CAAATAATACATGGCCTGTGGTCCATATAGTTTTCCTATGGAGATCAGCTGCTGAGTCCCTGTTTTTAGCTCTTTTGAAGGTCAGTTACATCCATCCATCCATTATCTTTTACCCACTTCTTCCATTTTGGGTCACGGGGGTCGCCGGTGCCCATGTCCAGCAATCACTGTGCGAGGGGCAGGGTACACCCTCGACGGGTCGCAAATCCATCACAGGGCCACATAGATACAAACGAGACAAACAACCATTCACTCTCTCACTCACGCCTAGGGACAATTTAGAGTTACCAATCAGCCTAACATGCATGTTTTTGGTCTGTGGGAGGAAACCGGAGTACCCGGAGAAAACCCACGCATGCACGAAGAGAACATGCAAACTCCACCCAGAATGGTCCCTGGACCGTGGTTTGAACCAAGGACCTGCTTGCTGAGAGGCAGCAACTCTACCAGTTGTGCCACCGTGCTTCCCAGGTCATCTACAGTAAAAACAAAAAAATCAAAACCAGTACATGGGTCACACCATGTCTACCTTGGATGAAAGAACCCAAACAACAAACAAAAGTTGCATTTTACTAATTTATTGAACAATTGTTTCTTTTAAACAGTGACATTAATGTCATGTTTTAAATTGTTTAAACAAACAAACAAAACTAAAAAGAAAAATAATGTACCAAGCAGATAACTCACCAAAAAAAATGCTTAAAGGCGTTATTATACATTGGACGACATCCTCAATATGTTTAGTCTATGTGGTCAAGGTAACAAGCTCGTTTCGGCGAAGCATGATGTTGTACAGCTTATCAGACTTCAGAGCATCATTTACAGACTGGAGCATTGCAGGTCTGGTGTTCCACCTCATCTCTCCACAGCTTCAGTGACCGGTCCAGCACCTTGTGTAACCTAAAATTGAAAGAAGACAGTGCACAAGTCAAAATAGTGTTACAGTGACTACAAATTACAATTTGTTGGCCTTTCTTTTGGAAAAAAATATTTTATCAAAAACAAGAGATTTACAATTGAAATGAACTCAAGAAAATGTGACCTTTGCAATTATAAATTACAGTAGCTCATTTTTTCTTTATTTATTTCACTTATCATATTTTATAATTATTTAAGCAGCCTCACCAGGCAGAGATTACAAGATTTTGTGTATCTTACCTGCTCTTTTGAAGTGTGTGACAAGGGTCTTTGTGTCCAAAGGTGTTTAACAGCTTGCTTCCAGAGCTAACAGCTTCCTGTGTTAGGTAGAAAAATTAAATTAAGTTAAAGAGAAACAAAAAGGTTAGTGCTACTTCTTGTGCCATGCTTTATAAAACAGTTATTGAATCAAGGATTTACTTATGTAGGTAAACATAGATGTATTAAAACATGTTAAAATACACCAGAATGCAGGAAATAGCAGCTACTTTATTCAAAAAGTTATGGGGGAGGAGCCACAGACCTCGCACCAATATGCCCCCCTACAATAATTCTAATGCTAATACCCACTGCGTTGTTCAAGCCAAGAGCCACTGTCAACACTGGGGGGCTAAGGCCCCTAAAAAGGGCTTCTAGAATCGCCCCTGGTGTGAAGAAACGAACTGAGAAAAATCAACTCTTGGCCTAAAATTTAACACAACAACATAATTGTACACATCATATCTTAAATCTAAAACTAAAACAGTTATTATAATATATATGCAACCAGTCTTTCATATAAAAACTGGGATATTTTTTTACCGGAGAATGCTTTCACTCTAACGAGTCTGTTGTTGTACTAGCATGGCTTGCGGTCGACAGTAACTATTTACGCAATAAAGTGATGGTTATTCACAGTTTCCTCGATTCCAGTATCCAGCAGGATGTCACAGTAAAAGCATAATTCTTAAATTAAAAGGGACAAGATGGAGAAAAATACACTAATGAGTCCGTTTATTTACTGACGGTAAACAAAGTCCGACTCCCCGCAGCTCCTCACTGCAGCTGAAACTAAACGTTTAAAGCAGCACAGCACCAACGCACAACTCTCGTGAAGTTCAGGGTTATTTGACACTTTCCTGCCCATTCTGTGAGTTTAAAAGATAGACAGACAGTTATTTCTTACGTTGCGTTACAAACTATTTCAGCCACTCGGTTTCTTTGCTGCAGACTTCGTTGCTCCGTGAAAAGCTACGCCTGGAACAGTTGACTTCTGGGCAATGTAGTTCTTTTGACTTGTGTTAAAGTGAAGGCTTACTGAAATAAAACTACAAAATAGCTGCGCCCGTTTTTTTTTTTTTTTGTTTCGTTTCATTTTCATTTGTGGTTATTGGTTGGTTCCCGTTCCTGTCTGCTCCCGTTAGCTTTCAGTCCGATCACGTCCCGGTCATGTGAGTTATAATGTGGTTTACTCTGGTCCCGCCGGAATCCTGCTGGAATCACGAGACCCGCAGTACTCCCGAAAAAATGTCATCCTCTAGTATACATCTACTTCCAACGCAAATTAACATTAGCCAATGCAAAAATGGCTAACTCAGGTGTGTGACTGGTTGTTTGTCTCTGTGTCCCTGTGATGGACTTATGACCTGTCCAGTCTGTCCCCCACCTCTTGCACTGGGACTTCTAGAGACGGGCACCAGCTCCGTTAGAAACAGAAAGGAGAAACAATTAAAGAAAAATACAGATAAATACTAAATACATTTGTAACCAGATAATCATCAAACTTATGAAACATACTGTAAGGTTTGTCAGTTTGCTGCTTTGAGTAAAGGTGTGATAACACAATGCAATGGAGATCAAACTTCATCAATAACCTTAGACAGCCAACTGTTGCTGTCTACTGATAGATGTATGTCTATTTCCTAACAATTTTTATTCATCATTGAACTATGCAGAAACATTTAAAACAGATGGAAAATGTAGAAACCTTAGCGGAACGGTGCGTCTATTTGGAATAGTAAGTTTTAAAGTGTATAGCAACACGGTCTGTATATCACAGCTGCATTTAGTGTGAAACCTGCAATGGTGACATCACGTCTTGTGGCATTTTTTTGTTTTTTTTTCTTGACATGTGCTGGTCTTGTTAAGAGCTCTTAATGACAATTCTGCTGTGTGTCTCTGGTGACCCTCCCCTGCACCTGCTCTCTGTGTTTAACATTCATGAATAGTTCAAATGAGAAGCATCTTGCTCTCTGTCTCTTTAAGATCAAACATGCATGATTTTAACAAGCTTAGTAATCCTGTGTCACAAATGCTGTATTTATTATGTTTTTTACTTCCAGTCATTAAAACCAGAATGACTAAAAACTGTTTCATAATTTTTTTAACATTTGTAAAATAATCCAAATTGTTACTGTGGCTTGAAGGAAATCCAACAATGTTCAGTCAGGTCTTTTATTTATTTTATTTTTTTGAGAGACGTTTCGCCCTCCATCCGAAGGGCTTCATCAGTCTGAGGAGTCACAAACCAACTGTTTCCCCCACTAAGCAGTAAACTCCTACAGTGGACAAACTAGTTTGCTGGTGATAAGATGGTTTCTGGGGGCTGTCCTCTGTCCAGATGTCCACTATCCAGATCACCTGATTGAACATTGTTGGATTTTCATTTTACCTGGTTTATTGAGCATGAACC